TTTATTTATTTTCATGAATAGTTTATGAACTCGGTCACTTTAACAGCCTACAAGCTCACTCTACTGTTTATTGCATTATATTTTGCACTACTGTTATGATCAACTCGTCCTGTCTATTCTGGTAATTCTGGTATTGTCATTTCCACTTAATCACCTCATCAGTACATAACTGTGACTCTATATAGAACCGGTATGCACACCTTCACTTTACTAAGTTTCTCAGGTTTATACTTTATATTGCACTATTGTTTACTCTGGCCTTGCACATCCATTATCTACCTCTCATCACGTTATTGTCTTCAGTCAGCGTCCCTTTGTCTCCTGTTGGTCACTATTGAGCACGTTGCATCAGAGGTCCTGCTGCTGTTCACTTTTATATTTTTTATATAACTAGTTGTGTTAGTTTATTTTTGCTAATGTTGTTGTTTGCTGCAACTTGAGTAGGAGTGTAACGCAATTTCAATTTCTATGTATGTCCTGTACATATGCAGAATTGACAATAAAATCAATCAATCAATCAATCAATCAATCAATGTCCCTGCTGACGAAAAGCAGGCCCAAACCATGATGTTGCCACCACCATGTTTGACAGTGGGGATGGTGTGTTCAGGGTGATGAGCTGTGTTGCTTTTACGCCAAACATCGTTTTGCATTGTGGCCAAACAGTTTGATTATATAGATAAAAACAAAATCGTGGTGGACTTCCTGCCCATTTTATTTGTACCTCTGCATTAGGGGAGTGGTGGCGCAGAGGTTAGAGAGGTGGGCTTGTGATCCGAAGATCGCCGGTTCACGTCCCGGCCCCGACAACATCAAAAAAATTGTGGGTGGGGTAGGTGAAACACCCACACTTGCCCCCACCCTCATTCGCCCCACTCTGGGCCCATGAGCAAGGTCCTTAACCCCACCATGTGCTCCCTAAACAGGTCTCTCTTGAAAATGAGTTCTCGTGGCTCAATGAGACTAACCTGGATAAATAAAGGCTAAAATGAAAAAAAAAAAAAAAAAATCTGGTGTTGGCTCAGAGCTCTGCATTGGTTCAGCCAGGAGAGAATTCTGTCTAAAGCCTCTTTTACTTCTGTCAACAGAACATGGCTGACTCCTTCCTGGATGGTGACATAACCCTGGACTCCTTTATCGATGCCTACCAGAGCAAGAGGAAGCTGGCCCATTTAAGACGAGTGAAGATCGAGAAGCTGCAAGAAATGGTGCTGAAGGGCCAGCGGCTCCCTCAGGTGCCTGTCTCTTCCGCCCAACCTCAGGATGTGCCAGCAGCAACCTCCCAGCTGATGGATGGCAACGACAACTCTTCTCCTCTCCCCCAGCCCAAAAGAAAGCCACCACCTCCTCCATCTCAGCCAGCCCCTGTTCTGAATCCAGCTCCAACTCCAGCCTCCGTCCTGGATTCTCCTGTTTTCTACTCGGCATCACCATACCCCCCGATCCCTCCCAGAACAGGGCTGCCTTTCCCCAGTGTGTCCTCTGGTTTCCCCAGCCATTTCCTCTCTCAGTATCCCCCTGCTCTGCCTCAAAGGCCCTCACCTCGCATGGCCTCGCAACCTGGCTTCATTCTGCAGTAAATTGAAAGGAAAAATAATAATTTTGTGTCTTTTTCGCTACTGGAACTCCTTAGAGAACATGTTTTCAATGTCATCTGCCTTCTTGGATTTTGACTAGTCATAAAACATGAAAAAAGACCTTCAACGGCTGGTCTGGACACATTTACTGAGGCAGATCTCCGTATCCTCTAGGAATCCATGCTCACCACTAACTTGAAACCAAGCCCCCCAACTAAATACAAATGTAGATGAGATGGCCCTGATGTGTGGCTCAGCCAGAGAAGGCCCCCTATCCCTCCACAGGCTGTGAGTGATGGAAGCACCAGCCTGTGGTTCACCCACCTGGGACTTCTCAGCACTTTCAGTCTGCCGGTTGTTTCCCTTATTCTACCACGTTTCTTTAAAGGGAAACTAAAAATCCTTTTGAAAAGGATTTGAAATACGTTCATCCACAGCATGCTATTCAATATGCAAGCGAGGAGAGACCCCGATTACTGTGCAGACATTTGTTCCCAGAAATTACTCAGACAAAACCTGTAGATATGCTGTGATGTATTTTTCTTTCTTTTCTTTTTTTTTTTTTTTTTTTTACATAAAATTCTCATGGTACTTAGTAATATTTGAATTTCAACATCCTTTACTGATTTAGTACTAATGGAGTTGTGATAATATTAGCCAGAGTAGACTCTAACAAGGAGGGCTTTGGTTGGTCTGTGTCTAAAGAGGGCCCAGCCTGGTCTGGATCATGGTGGCTGACCCGTTCATCTCTGCGCCCCAAGTCAGAGGACCAGGGGACCTGAGTAGAGCCTGAGCAGTCAATGAAGGATGACTCTGGGTGTGCAGCACTCCATTTCTGATGTCTCATCTTGAAACGCCAAGCTGGGACTTGATGGGAGCATGATGCCAACAGTTCTTTGAATCGCATGCATGCTGTGTGTTTTTGTTCATCTGCCACACTGAGCACCAAAGACTTTCCACATCATTCTGTTTTCACTCCTGTATGTGTGTGTGTGTCAGTCAATGAAGCATTTAGTTCAACTTCATTAATCAAACATTTGTGATGTCAAAACACTTTTTGTAAACATGAAAGCCATAAGTCTGAGAGGAGCAGCCTGGCTTTGGGAGGAGAACTGAACTTTGGTGAGATTAATTTTTTTCCTCTCCCCTCTGGCTGCTGTGCACTGTTGAAGAGCCATGAGTGCCTACACTTCAAAATGTGTTTCATCGTGTTCTGCTGATGAATTCATGTGTTTCTGTGCTCAGCTTTAGGTGTTAAGCTCCAGTATACTCGTGCGTCCTGTCAGCCACGCTGGACCTGATTTTAATTCGCTCGGGACAAATTCCTTCATTTCTCACCATTTCAGTCATGGCGTCAACAGAGGAGGAAGAGATCGCTTGCCTCTTGGCAAAAAACAAAACAAAGAAAAGACCATTAAACCAGATCAGGGATTAAGAAGGGGAATTTAATACATTGGTGTCGCATACAAAACAGTCTGTCGCCGGGCAGTTTATTGTGGAACACAGAGAGTACGCATTCGTAAAAATATAGCTTTGCACGGACATGCCCTGCGGGCGTCCGCTTCGACTCCGGTACACACGGACCTTCGCAAACCCACGTGCACGCGAGTATACTGGAGGCTTCAGAACCTCCTCTGCCATCATTTATTAGATTGCCGTTTAGTTTTTTCTTCCTCCTGTTGTATTTTTGCCCCGTCCTTTGGGTTAAAGAAGGCGATATGATAGAAAGACAATAAGTAACAAATGCTAGAGACAAGGAACAGCCCCAGGCTGCTTGGTGCTTGTACTTGTCTTCCACTGCCTGAGGTGAGCTTGCATATATTTGCACGTGATGATGTTGAATTTTTATTTTAAGCTTAATTGGTTAAAACCCAAGGCTCTGAAATGATTTTCTTTATATCTATGATAGTTTGCCTCAAAGACAAGGATTCAACGAGTGCAACAATCAGGAAAAACTACAGAAAAATCTAGATTTTTCATTGAACCAACGTTTCTAACAGCATGGCCTTTGCTTTTACTTAAATTTAAATACTCCTCTTGCTGCTTTTTCTTTATACTCTTCTTCCTCTGGATCCATGTTTTTTATGTGGTTGGTGATAATTTCATTGTAATGTTGTAGGTATTTACTTTGAAAGTTTAAGTGGAATTTAATGCTTTTTTTCAATGTCAGTAAATATTTTGTTTTGTATCAGTTTTCATTGAGCCACTTTATTTGAACACATCAAAGTTTACATCCCCTCATCTAGACTACAAATTCCATATTATTTGGACTTTTAATTATTTATATGAGATGTTCTTTTCCAGGGCAGCATGGTGGCTCAGTTGGTTGAACTGATGCCTCTCAGCAAGCAGGTTGCTGGTTCAAATCTCGGCCGAGGACCTTTCTGGGTGAAGTTTACATGTTCTCTCCATGTATGCATGGGTTTTCTCTGGGTACAGTAGTCCCTCGCTTATCACGGGGGATCCATACACTGAAGCCCTGTGATAAGTGAAAAACAATGAAGTAGGAAAAGTAGTGCAAGTAGTAGTTTATTTTATTATTTATATATAAAGGCATTTTAAACCTTTCCCACATGCTTGCAATATTTTAAACAATACTGTATTTCTAATCTCTAAACGCTCTAAAAGAGCACATCATGTTGTAGATGAACAGATGCTCAGATATATTCATCATTTAACGCGGATTCCTCATTTTTCTGGACTGAATAAAACGTGCATTGAATTTAAGGAAATGCAAACGTGAGACGTCATTTACGTTTGACCCATCAAAATGAATGCGGTCATTTATTTACAGAATCAAAATTTAACATCAAACATTTACATTAATTTGGCAAATTATGAAAATAACAACATAAGCAATCAATCAGGAAAAATCATACGGCCATGATTTTTCCGTTGCTTCACCACAGACATTTATGAAAACTGTACAATTATGATCTTTTACCCACATGGATGTGGGTGAGCATTTTACACAGACATTTCTAAAATATCTGGAAGAATTTCTACTTGAGAGAAAAGTTTAAAGATGAAAGAAGTTAAGAGGGAGTAAGAGGGTGTGTGAAGGGAAGTAAGTGTTCACCAGAACCGACACTCTCCATCAGAAACCCAGCTCGCCTCGGTACGCTTGGTAGGAAACTTGACCCATTACCTTTCTGATGATAATCAGCAGATATGGTGTTCCGTTAACGCTACCGGTCCAGCGTCTCCTTAGGATGGCTGTAGCTCGTCAGAAGTAGTGGCGAGTGAAAGTGTTATATTCCCATGGAACTCGGAAGAACTCTGTTGTCATGTCAGGATCATCCCAGAGCTTCTAACAGAACTGTGTAGTTTACAGATCTCGAGCAGAGCCTCAACAGAACTTCTCCAGAACTTGAACAGAACTCTCTAGCAGAACCTGCACTGAACTGAGTAGACCAGGAAGTACTGACATTTTAAAGAGCTGTTTCCCGGTTCACTTTTGGGAGTATTACCACTGGTCAGAACCGACCAGACGGGGTGTGTTTTGTGACGTAAGAGGTTAGAAGGCAGCAAGAATTGTTATGGAAAGATCAGAAATGTTCTCACAGACAGAGAGAGTTTTGTTTTGGCGCGTTTCAGAAACAGGTGCCAAAAACCTCTATATTACGTCTGAGAGGATTCTAAAAACATGACAGTTTTAACATAACAACTTGTTTTGCGTTTGACTCCAACCTTGGACCAACTTACACTTGCTCATTCAAAAGCAGAAATCAGAAAAGGCATAATTACTCTGTTACAGCTTTGACATGAGTTCTAACTTTTGCGTGAGAAAAAATCATTACACAGTTAATAAAATTGATTAGTTCACTGCAACATCTAAAATGGTTTGAACTAAGACACTTTGATTATCAACATTTGTAAAATAGTAATGATAATAAAACAGAGAGTGTTCTTTTCACTTGAATCTTCAAGAGAGAAAGTCTCAGGATGGGTGAACCTGTATTTCTGGATTCAAATCAATGAAATGACAGTTCCTGTCCCACAAGGTTCTTAAGGTCAAGATTTTTGACCTTAGACTTAGTTTTTGACATGGGCCTAGTCCACTACAGTCCCCCCTTTGGAAATCATCACCTGTCCATGGGGATGAATTCCAACTATGGACTTACGCCTTCGATTGTCCTTGAAGCGTGATGTAATCCAGCAAAGAAACCAGAGTCAAGAGTAATCCAGCAAGGAAAACAAAAGTCAAAAGTAATCCAGCAAGGAAAACAAAAGTCAAGGTAATTCCACAATGTTCTCGGTAATTCCATTGTGTTGATTATAATCCCATATCGTCTCGATAATTCCATTGTAGCAATGCTTTAACCCCTTGGAAACAGAGTCTGTAATCCACTGGAAAAAGTCATATAATCCACAATGGTAAATCCACAACGATTGGAAGTGTTGATTAATCAGCATACAGAGGGGTACCCTTGGGTTGAACTGAAGAAGCGGCCACTGGATGAAGAGTGGAGACCAACGTCAGGATTGCAGGTCGCCTCCAGTGAAGGTTGTCTCCAGCGACGTCCAGCCTGTGTCGTTCTGGTTCAAATGTGTCATGCAATTATGTGGTTTAAGGTGGGCTTATGAAGGGGATTTTACATAAGGCCTTAAACTATATGCACCTGGTGTGTAAGCTATTATGGTTGGGAACAGCTACAACTACCAGTTAAGGGGTGGAGCATGCTGAAAAGGGGTAACTACAGGGGTTTAAGCCTATAGAAAAGGGTCCCAAACTACTTTTCCATTTCTAACTTGGGTTAAGTTAGCTTTACATGGCAAAATATAGTTTGGTTCAAATGTCTGTTGTCTTTTAGACGAACGACCTGAGATTGGGTGTTTGGTTTCCCCATAAATGTTTTGGAAGTCTATGGCGAGACTCATCAAAAAGAATTAGCTATCCCCCCGAATAGAATTGTTCGAGTAGGTTCGGCTTAAGCGATGTGAGACCAATGTAGATTATGGTACTTAAGGTAACAATAATATACATTGACTCCGCAAGGATTGCAATTTAGCGAATGAACTGCATGTTGGCATGGTTAAAGGCCTCTTAGTCTCTAACTTAACTTACACACAAGATACATTCTTACCACAGAAACAACCAAAATCAACTAAACAACGTTTCAACACCGACAAGAGTAGTGACTAAGCATCTAGAAACATCGTTTCACTGCTTCTCCTCACCCTGGTTGTCAGTTTCAGTCGCGCTGTCCCGTGTGAGTGGCTTCTTTGCGGACCCGCTTACGCGAGGCATAATCATATCGAGGTGCGCTGCATGGCGATCCACG